GGACTTGCAAGTTCTAAGGCAATACAGATAAGCTCGGCATAGTAAGGCGAAGGTTCATCAACTCAATTATCATCGAATGGGGCTCGGCTTCGTTTCCTCCACTATAAAGATATGCAGTACTCAAAAATAGTCAGAATTTCCTGCAGGGTATATTTTAGCTTTCAGACTGTCCAACAGGAGGTTGCCGACACTTGCGTGCCAAAGAGTAATTAACGCTGGCTGCGTCACGGCGCTCTCTCCTCCAAACAACCAAAACAGCTCTGAAGAGTGTTATATATATATATATGTATATATGCATACATAAGTACTAACAAAATATCACACGGAGCCTCGACCAGCAACATGTGAGTAAAAATTATCAGATGAATGGATTTGTGTGCTCATTTTGGTGGAAGCAGAGGCAAACGAAGCAGATGCTGAAAAAAAGAAGCACTACGTAGTGGAGAAGAGTAGACTAGATATATAGGTTTGTATCCGTATGAAGGAATATCTATGAACTTACACAAGATATGCTACGGATGGACCGCGGATAAATTAAAAATACTATTTCTTTCAAAGCGAAAATTTTTTAGTATATAAGCGTGTGTGAGTGTATATAGCATCCTATATATGTATACATACATACATACAGATAATTTTAATTATTTGCGGAATTTTTCGTAAGTAAAAATTGCTTTTCGATGTTTGGAAAATGCTCAGGGATGCCAGTGCAAATTCTGACGTGACGTTGCGCGGTCCAAAGAGAAATCGGCATCGAAATAAATCGGGAGAGAAAGTGGACAAAGTTGACAAATTCGAAAAAAATTAAAAAAAAAAGTATTATGCATTTGAGGCGATGGAAAATCGTTTGAGTGAAGTAAAAGCGTGCCAAATCAAAGCCAAAAAAATTATGTGATAAAATTGTTTTGGAAAGCTATAAAAGTATCCTTGCAGAAAAAAATTAAAACCTTTATTAAAGAGTTGACTTGAAAATCAAATTGTTTGAAGATACAGGCATGTTTCCATAAAAACAAATTTAAAGTAAAACTCATAGATCATGAGATTTTAATTTAACTGCATATTCAACGCGCTGTGATTTTAAAAGGGCTGGAAAGCGAAAAATTAAATACATAAAAGCTAAAAAATACAGAAGCTTGTGTATACAAATATTGAAGTACAGATGCACGTCAGTTGAAAAGCGAAATCACTATACGTAAATCAAACAATTCTGCAGAAATTCAGTGAAATTTTATTGTGTAATAAGACTGTGCATTTTTTCATAAATCATCGGTANAAAAAACAAAAACTACATTGCATGCACTGAGCGAACAAAAATAAATGAATTAATTTTGTGGAACAAAGAAATGCAGCGTTTAATGTGCATAGGAGCCTTGCTGCTCAGTTTGGCCGTCAACGGTTGGTATTTATTTTGGACTTATTTTTAGTTATGCTTGCAAAAATGTATTTTACGTCTTTTGAATAAGTTAAAAGGTCCGGTTAAACATAGGCCACTTAGGGCCGGTTACTCAAGTCATCGTTATCGACGTCTTCGACTCCATGCATACAACAGGGAGTCGGTAACGTCGATAACTATGTTTAACCGCAGATTAGTGTTAACCAGACATTGAGTAACCGGCCCTTAGCTTGATAGTTTAAAATTGAGGTTTCGTAAATTTAAAACACAAAAAGATGTTTGTAGAAATACAAAAACTCATATTAGATAGTTTGTTAACTTGTTGAATAGCTGCACAATTTACCATTTTTTAACGTAACTGGAGAAGTGAGAGTATGGGGAAATTTCAGTATACTCAATGAGTACCTGGATACTTTGCAGGATGCTTTCACTTAAGTACCAATTTTTTAAGTCGATTGCTAAATACTTTCAAACTAATTACTTTATGATTTAGGAAAAATTAAAAAAATAACACCCTACGCTCAGCTCAACTTACCTAACCACAATGCACTTCACCTCACCTCAAATCAACTCACCCCACCTAACTTAAACTCATCACACCTGATCCTACCACACCTGAATTCACCAAACTTTAACTAGCCACAACTGAATGCTTCACACACTTTCTCACCACACCTCAGTCAAACTCACCACATCTCACTTTGAGAACTATTTCAAGGTTTAAGATATTCTCGGGACTAAATCCGGATTTTCAAGACCATTTCGGGATTTTCGGGGCTATTTCGGGATTATTTGGTCTAAATCTCGAGACTCTTTATTTTTACACTGAGTAGTTAAAAGCAAATGGATATTTAGTTCAGTAAAACATAGAAAGATATGGCTGAATGAAAAGACTTCGATTCAATCGACACACATACTTAAAACATCTTTACAGATGGTTGTAAAATAGCTGAGAGGTTGGTGGCTTCTCTGTGCATATATTTACACATAGACAGAAAATTGGATGCAACTCGGAAAAATTCGTTATGCGATTTATGAAAGTTTCATTCATCCATTTTACGTTCTAGGTTAAAACAAAATATCCGATGCTTACGTCGCCAATAGTTTATATTTACATATGTATGTATGTATATATGTGTATGTGGATATGCATATTTAGGAGTATGCACGCACATTAGGGTGGTCCAAAGAAAGTAAAGTCCGAATTGTAATGTTCCCCAATGGTTTTTCTATATATAAACAAGTTTTCATCGCAATGGCATATAATGCTTTAAAATCTATATTTTTCAATCCGCAAACTCTTTTTCTCTTCAGAGACTTCAAGCAATAATATCCAGTTAATTATTTGCAATGTAAAAAAGTGTTAAATAAACAAAAAACAAAATGTTAAATAAACAATTGGCTTGAAGTCTCCTAACCTCATTGCATTTTTTCGGGGCTTTTAGGGACCTGTACAAAAATATTGCAAAAGTTACTTGCTTGCAAGAAAAAATGCAGAATTCAAACTGCTTGTGGTGGTAAAAAAGTACTTTTTACATTGCTTTCAAAGTAACTGAATTTCCGACGGGGTATATACATACATATTTATATGTATTGTTATTATATATAATAAGTTATATACGTACGAGAATTCTACGTTCAAATAACATATCATATGTGGGGTTCATTTGACCGTCAGGGTCAGGATCATTTGAAACGTCAATCTTCCTATTCAATAATTTTTTTTTTTCATCAAATTTACCCAACTACGATTAGTAAATTTGTTGAATCAAAAGGGGGGTTACCAGTTAAAAAAAAAAAAAAACATGTTGACCTCGATGTGACCTTGAAATTGTCCCTCACTTTATTTTGCCACTCGGCATTGGAAAGCTTGTTTTTTAATGAATTTTCCACGTTTTTAAAATAGTTTTAAGTTAAAAGAGAAATGGGCAGGGTGGGGGTAACGTTCAGAAAGAATGCCCCATATATTACACCGTGCGTGCAGTAAATTTTACACACAAACAAATTAATATATTCGCGAAAATACGGAAAAAATATAGTAAGACTGCGTTTTTAACTTTTCACTCTGACGTCAGCATTTTTTAAAGGACTTTGCAATTTCAAAAATATGATTAATTCAAAAAATTATTAAAAAATTTGAGTGCAATGTAAAATAACAATGTGGGTTTCAAAAAAGGGAAAATCCTGTAGAATTAAAAAATATAATATTTTTTGGTGCATAAGGACGAAGGATATGGAAAATTTCCTTTTAAAATTTTATCCTTGAATATCCTTGAAAGATTGCAATATTTATTTTTGAAAAAATTACAAATTAAGGACACACGACCACATCCTCGAATTTCTTTCCGCTAACGTTATTAACTTAAAAAAATTAAATTAATTAAAAAGCGTATTTTCAATACTTAGTCGTCCTTGTAAACCAATTATTTACTGTATTTCAATTCTACAGAATTTTCTCTTTCATTTGGTGTCCATACTGTTACTGCACATTACACTGATTTTTTTTAAATATTTTTTTTGAGTTAATTATATCACTAAAATTTCAAAAGTCCTTTCAAAAAATCCTCACGTCAAATTGAAAAACTTAAAACGCAGCCTTACTATATTTGGCCCATTGTTTCATGAGTAGATTGATTGTTTCGTGTGTTTTGAAATTTGTTTTTTTTTTGCTTTTGTCGCACGGCGTTATAAGCTATAGCTTCTGTTTTTAATGCATTTTGATTTATTATTTTTTTTTAATTTTGCTTCTTTCTCACAGCCTTGGCCATTCAATGTTACTCGTGCGAATCTGTTTACAACACAAATTGTGGCGATGATTTCGACATGGAAGACGACTTCAAGTGGGACTGTTCACACGTTGCGCCGCCTCGTTATCTAGAAAACGATTTGGATATACGGAACGCCACCGCATGTATGAAGCGGGCGTATAAAGGTTAGATTATATGTATATAGTACACTATTTGTTTACCTTGGAACCGAGTTTCCCAGTGTGCTTTTAAGATCTCTACCTACATACCGTACGTTTAATAGTAAATAATATACAGAATTATTGAAAAATTGCAATTTTGTGGCAAAACGCAATCAAAGTTTGATCAATTCATACAGTTGGTATACCAAAAGACAGATGGAGAGACATACGTACATATATCTTAGCCACCTCGGGAAGTTTAGTCATCTGTTATTATATATTCTCTCTTCAAAAACGTAAATTTTGAGTGACATCTCTATATTATTAAACGTGCGATATGTTGTTGTTGTTGTGGCAATACATCCAACAGATTCACATTTTTTTTTCCTTCCACTTGCAGTGAGCGGCATGCAAAGAATCGAACGCAGTTGTTTCTTCGGCGATGTCAACGACACCGTTATAGGTTGCCAATTGGATCCCACGCTGGATGAGGCGGAGGCGATATCTTGTCACATTTGCGACAATGAAGACTTTTGCAATCACAGCAACCAGCCGCAAGCATGGCCGCAGTATTTGGTCGTTATCGGATTTGCGTTGACGGCTAAACTCTTAATTTGGCTGAGCTAAAATACAAATACAGATATTGTTCAAAACACAAGAACCCACTCCAAATAATAAGTAGGAATAAATAGCTTAAATTTAATTTCCGTTTTTATTAGTCCATACACGACTATGTACATTTCGCACGAGTTCTTCAAAAATATATCAACTTAAAATTTCGCATAAAACTACATATTTCTGTGTGTTTATGGTAGATAATCATATCGGTGGAATTTGGCTGCGAGTTTTTGAAGCTAATCACAACAAAATATTACTTCTGCTCTGGCTGGAAGGTAAAAAACTAAGTACTAGCTGTTCGTAATTGTAATTCTTAGTATTGAAAATGAATTTGAGGTGAAGCTCGGCCAAACAGTTAGCTAAAATTTTAGCTTAAAAAATTTGTATATAAAAAATTAATATTTTGAGTTAATGCACTTTTGAAGAGCTCGTGCAATATGTGTGTAACTCGATTTTCGGTTTGGTAGACTGTAGCGAAGTAGAAAAATTCGATATATATGTAGATAGACATACAATTAAAAATGCAAGAAAAAACCGCAAAGAATATGTTTTCTTATACATAGGAGTAAGGTTAAAATAAAGTAAATAGAAAACAACGCGTGCTAAAACAATGTCAACTAATTAAAGCCAATTGGCCATTTAAACACAATTCAACATAACTACTTTACTCATTTCGAGGTAGGGATTCGCTATAGGTAAGGTTATGATACGAAGGCCGCCACTCTCCATACAGAAACTAAAGGACCAGGAAACCCTTTGTGCGACCACTAGCTGATTTGCGCCATAGTTTGATTCATGCAAGTTAAGCGAAGATAACCCGAATTGTACATTTGTACAGAATTTTAAATTTTTTCCAGTCACAGAGTGGTGTTGTTTAGGAATTTGAGTTCAGCTCAATAAAAGAATTTCCGAACAACACCACTCTGTACCTGGCAAAATGAACAAATCTGTGCAATTTGTCCATTGCCATATATGTATGTTCGAGAACCAAGACGTCATTCTTTGTGTACACTCCTCGTCACAAAGTATGCTCGGCAAAAAAAATAAAAATTCAAAAATCGACGCTATTTTAAAGCCACTTGAAAATTGCACTTTATTATACTAAAATTGAATATCCGAAATTTTTATAAAAATATTATTAACTTATTCACTGTAGGTCATTAGGATAGAACACCCCTTTGTTGAATTTTTTTTTTGTATTTTTATGGAATTTTAAAATCAGATTGACACGTAGAATATGCTATATTTTTATAAGAAATTAATGAATATGAAATAATGAAAAGGAAAACTGTAAATACTAACGGTTAAATGGGTGCACTACTTATTCAAATGACGAGGAGTGCATCTCATAGCCAACTCGTTAAAGAGACTGAGTTGCACTGTGAAACATTAACACCAGACTAGCCGTCAAAATAGATGGTGATCGATCTCTCTGTGCAGTAAGAGTTCCTAAGACAGAGAACCGGCTCTTTGGCTGGAAAACATTAAAGCACTCTGGTTAACTCAGGCTTATGTTTTATAATAGTTGGATGGCGCTGCCAATTTTATTGCTTTGCTTAAGAGTACACTAACCTAGCTGCTTGATAGTTCGAACTATAGTATCCAGAATTCTAGAATGCCAAATCTAGTTTCCCTCTTGGGCTTTAATTTATGGTGATCACGTTTCTACCAAAAATGTCGCCTTTTGATTGCCCCTTTCTCTTTTCGTGTTCGATTAAAAATTAAAGGCAAAGGGTGCGAAAATTTCGTTTCTTAAAATGTCACACTGTTGTAAGGCAAAAAAGGCATATTTTCTGTTCTTTGAAGTTTTTGCAGTGGAGATAGTTGCGCTGAAAATCAGATGGTTCTTTAAAACGACAATATTATGAAATACGTGAGTTAGACAACGACAAGAAGGCGAAGACATGCCCTTTGACAGGGTTGAGTGCAACATTAAACGCATTTTGCACCGAGTAGGGCAACAATTTTTGGAAGCTACGAAATCAACATTAAACAATAAATCCGAAAATAAATCTACATAACTGGATAGATCGTTCCATGAATAGTACGAGTTTCCAAAAATTGGCATGGGAAAAATATTTTTTCACTCTCCGGAAACCCAAAAATATTAACTATGCGTCATATAGTATAAGTTTTTTTTTATTATTTTGAAAATACAAATATGTATGTCTTTAGTTGTTTGACTCTATGGACATGAGAGGCATCTGTTGCTCTCTTCTCCATCGTTACACGGTGCAACACCAAAACAAATTCTTTACGGGAAAATTACTCCCACTTCTGGCCTCTCCTCGTTTTTTTTCTCCCAACTAATTATACAAAAGAGAAAGTATTCAGAAGAACCAAAACGTGAACTGCTTCTTATGCTCATTAGGGTAGAGCACAAACTTGAGTCTACAACCTTTGAACAAAAATTAAACTATGAGGATTTATCAGACTATTTTTTCCTACATATTGACCCAAGTGGCAGTTCCTGAAGAAAACGATGACTAGTTTTCGAAAAATTGAACTTTTCAGCGAATAAGTAGGTGTGCCTCTAACCCACATGCCACAGTATATACTACATATGTACATATGTATGTACATACATACATACCTATAGGTAATAAATAAAAGTAAGCTAAAAATGTCCCATGCGCCTTTAGAATCTGCTCTTGGCAAATGTTTGAAAGAGACGTAATTTTGTCGCAATCATCATAATTTTATTTCCGTCGTGGGAGATTTCAGTTCCATTCTTGCTGAAACATCGGAAACATCGGTACGACCAAGAGTATTCGCCATTGGGAAATAAAATTTTATTTTTTTGGAAAAGTAATATTTGTTTGAAAAAGTATATTGCGCTAGTAAGAACAGTAGAACGCGATGAGGTCAGCGCTAATATTTATGTTAATTTGGGGCTGCATATCAGCAGGTAGGTGGAGAGGAACAAACAAATTCAGTTTAAAAAACCTTGAACTTATTTACACTATTAGTGCTTATGTTTGCATATTTTGTCTTTAAACCGAATCTGAATCTCCAAAAATCTCCCATCAGCACTTAGTATCGAATGCTATGATTGCGAGTCGCTGAGCGATCCACGCTGTAATCAATATTTCGATCCCGAGGGAGTCAAGCAAACCGACTGTGATGACGCGGATATGCCAGCGTATTTGCATAAGTACGAGCGTCGCATAAAAGCTACCGGCTGTTTAACGAAGGTGCACGAGGGAGGTAAGTGTATGAGCATTACGTGGAAAGAGCAAGGGTACTACATAAAATTCTCCAACTCATTTTTTATATTCTTTCTTTCGATGGTAAAAAAATTGTGCTCACCTTCGTTCGATTTTCCTTCCTTAGTCGCTGATCGCCGCTTTTACATTCGACGTAGCTGTTATTTCGGTGATCCGGAGGATGTTGATGAAGCCTGTGAAGCCCCAGATCCGTATGTGCCATGGGCTAATTTGATTTCGTGTTCAGTTTGCACGGAAGACTTGTGCAACGTAAATGCCCTCAATGAGGCCCAGCACTCCCTAAGTGTGTGGCATACACTAACATTGGTCGGATTAACTTTAGCGGCACTGGCTTTGAACCGCATTCAAGGGATGTTCTAACAATAGTTTAGGTGTTGTGTGTCTTGTACTGTATTCTCACAATAAAGAGACACGAAGTGAAATTTACTTTATAATTCGTCGATTTTTTTNTGGCTTTGAACCGCATTCAAGGGATGTTCTAACAATAGTTTAGGTGTTGTGTGTCTTGTACTGCGTTCTCACAATAAAGAGACACGAAGTGAAATTTACTTTATAGTTCGTAGATTTTTTCCTGTATTCTTTTAAATGCCCTATTTGTGTTTCTATACAGAGTAGTTATACAAGTTTATAAAAATAAAACTTCTTAAGGTGAGCGATACACACATGAAAGCCGATAGTCTTTGCCACTGGTATACACTTCTGAGAGAGCTCGGTAGTTATTGACATCTATGTACAGGTCAAATCGTTTTATTTTCAATTTCTCGGCACGGGGTCAAACAAATATTATCATTGGAATGAAGCGATAGGAAAGAGCAATGCGATGCGATAGGCAAATACATAGTAAATAATACGCTGTGCGATTGCCTATCGCATCGCATTTCCATTTCGTATCGCATTACAGAGTAGCCCGCCTGGAAATGTCATTGATGGCCTTAATGGTACCCTCTCCCCACAAAATCAACGGCGGTGCATTTCACTGCCTATGTATAAAGATCGACGGCGAATTGGCCTAAATAATAGTTCCCACGACAGCCGGTTCTACGTACCGGAATGACTCGGGTTCTACCCGAGCAAGGGCTATTGTTTCGGCGTTCTAACCTTGTTTAGGTCGGCGAATTCTCTCAAACGTGGTTCCTCATGGGGCAACATATGCTCCATATACTTCTGCTCAGGGCTGGCAGAGTCAAACCCTAGGGCCAGAAACAACACCAGCCGAGTATGCCAGTGACGACTGCATCCGAACTTCACCTCGGTCAGGTGCAACACTTGCGATGGGTGAAGCCAACTCCGCACCAGTTCGGGTTTTAGCACTTACCGGCAGGCAGTGGACCAAGTCGTTCGTGGCCCCGTGCTGTTCAAACCGGACCGCGTCCACGATTCACCGGAATTCACCTCAGCAACACAACACCAACTCAACCACACCCCAACACAACACAACCAAAGACTCACACATGGACACAATGAATGCCGTTTTGGGAACACAACCATCTAACGTGGACGAGACAGAGCTTCGTCTGCCCAGAAGACTCGAACCACAATAGCCCAACTTCGTTCTGGCTACTTCAACAAGTTAAATTCGTACCCGAGCAGATTAGATAAGATGTGCGCAACGAGTGCCCGGCATGCGGAGAGAGACCACCACGACTCGAGGCATCTCTTCGCATGCCCCTACAACCCACTCCGCGTGGTTGTGTAGCTGCTCTACAACAACAACAACACCTAGTGGATTTACTAATTTAGGTGGGTTTTGCAACAACAACATTACTGCAGCAGCTACTTGAAAAAGCCCCCTTTTATGTATTTCTATTAAAATGACTAAACTTTAAACCTTTTTTTTATAATTTTCGCACATAATTTTTTTCTGCGCACTTTTTATTAAATTATGACAATTTCTTTGATTTTAATTTTATTTAAATGTTTTATATTTTCAACATATACATATAATATAATTCGTTTGGTGTTTCTGTTTTACATCAGAAAATTCACGTACATTTTCAATAATAATAGTAATGATTAAAATTTCAATATTTTCTTTATTAACTATAATTATATGAATATTTTTTTAATAATAATTATTTTATTGTAATAATCGGAGTAACTATAACAGTATGTATGTATGTACTTTATTCGTAATAGTAGGCTAATTCATATTTCAGTTAATTATTAACATTTAGTTAAATGTTTCATATATTTCTTTTTTCTTTTATTAATAAATTGTCATTAAACTCATAGCGTTGACGAATGAATATAGTTACGTATGTGTGTATATACTAAGATGACTCGGATGATAATAATTAAATACATACATACATATAAGGTATTTAAAACAATTAACATACATATTCTACGTGTACATAACTCAAATATATATACATATATATGCATTTATGAGCTTTGTATTTTGTATATCGATATACACACATAGATAGATAGAAAGCTACTTGCACACACAATCAAAATCTATGCA